GGGCCTCGTATTTATAGGGGTTTTGGAGATCGGTGGTGGGGTCCACCAGATGCTGGTCGTAAACGAGTTTACGGCCGTACACGGGTTTACGGCCATAAACTGTGTTAGGCCGAAAACCAATTTTTTGATCGACGGATAATTCGACATTTCGTGAAGTTTTGGTTTCGACTCATATAAGAATTTAATTATATAAACTAGACGATTTTCTACACCACAAAGTTTGACGGAAAACTTAATAAAATTCAAATTTTATTAATGGAAATCGGTTAATGAAAACGGAAAAAGGTTCGGGTTGTCACATGCACTATGTATTGAAGACGAGCAACGACATCTTATTGATGCGACTGCATTAGAGTTGGTTCGCGATTATCAACATGCGAAACAATGACTAGTAATACTAGAATTCTCATTACCGTGTTATGCGGCCGATGAGCTGAGAAAACTAGCATTGTATAATATACAAGTGCTCCTCATTAAGATATATAAAGATATACAACAGTTTGTGAACACAATGGACCTCACCAAAGTAGCACGTAGGAAAACTCCAATAATAGAAGATTGAATCCAATTGACTAATAATGGGTTCAACCTAACTGGAACGTACATGGAATTGTTTTGAAAATCATGTAGACTCTGCTAGTTTGCACCGGATGCAAGTTTCCAGTTATCCTGGAAATGTATTATAAAAATTTAATATCACAATGTCTTTGGAAACTTAAATATGTAAATGGAATGTCTAAAATGACAATGTTTTTCACTAACATTAGTATAAAGATCGTTACAAATCCTAATACATACTTATATTGGTTTCCAAAAATTAGGAAATTGTAAGGGATACATATTATGTTCACGGTTAATAAAATATCCTTTAATTCTAACAACACCTGTTAGATGGCCCCGTTCTACATGAAGCTTATCAATCTCCGCATTTGCATGTTGAAGCCACTTCTCAGCTTCTTTGACTTTTTTCATAGTTTTAGCAACCCTTTTTTCTTTTTCTTTTACTTGTTCCGCTAGATCGTCTGCACGTTGATTTAGTGTCCTACTTGTTTTAGAATCCCTTTGATTTTCTTTTTCAGCTACCTTCATAGCTTGGGAAATGTCATCAAACATTTTATCTTGGAGCGGGAAATCTAGGCCTTCCAGAAAAGGGTTAATGTCTGAACAAACATATTTATATTCTTCTTCAAAATTCCAAACACCAAACTCAGATGGACTCATTCTCAAGTTAATTCTACGTTTAGGATATGTGCTAGCTACATATTAAAAAACATAAAATGCCTTATCGGGAATAAGTATCCGGAACGCGATGTTTGGAATGTTTCTCTCAGGAATGCGACGTTCTGAATGTGTGTCCGGAATATACGTTTGTGACTCATTTTCATTAAGAATATATGAAATTTATGATTGATTTTACTAGAAATGAATGATTGATATGGTGTCCATAATTTCATTCAGGAATGACATTCCGGATTCGAACTCTGGAATGTCATGGAATCCAGAATGAATCACTATAAATAAAAGAGTGGAATTGTAGAACCTTTAGCACTCTGGATTTGTATAACCTTTACAACTCCGAAATGTAAATAAATAAATCCCAATCATGGACTATACAAGATGAAATCACGCTCGTTCAGCCTTGGATAATAATTAAGGATGATTTGGTTGTCCTATGGTTGTCGTCATGCTGCTACATCTAATGCTCAGATTGCGTTAGGCACGCTTGAAACTTTTGTTTCATTTTGAGTTACCTTTTGTACAGTATCGAACTAAAGAAGAAGTGAAGGCAAAGTTTCTAGATACACGGTCAAAAGTAAAGAATTTTATCAAAATTTATCAGATCGACAACGAATTACTGGGAGAACATGAACAAGTAATTTTGCAGCTGGAAAGGGAGGAATAAAAATAGCAAATAACGGGGTTGATTTTCCATATGAACATGCTTGGTATATCTTAAAAGATGTCCTATATTTTTAAATTATGTATTTTGTTATTTTTATGTTTAGTAAGGTTTGGTGCTTATAAATTATGTTTTTTCTATCTTTGAAATATCTAACAAATATTAGGGCAATAATAATGTTGTTCATTAATCACTCCAAACTGATTACAAACATAACTAATTGTGATCTCATCATCCCGTTAATATATCAGAACCATATTGGACGACTCATTTATGTTTGAATAACGTGATGCTGCAATAGCCAGACTGAGGCATTTCCCACATGAACATGTATGGTGGTTTAGATATAGAACACACGTTGTTTTAAAATAAAAAACGCAGAAAATATCGGACAAGAACGTAGACGGTATCTCAGGCGGGATCTTTGTTGCTTCCCACCAAACAGACTTTTCCATCCTCCCATGAAACACCATCTCTGCATACTTGGTTAGTACGCTAGTCAACCTCCCGAAAATGTAAATATGATCATTTATAGTTATTGTATAGGTAAAAAAATTCAAGATTTTATGGTATTTTACCTCCCATGTGTTGGATCTATATGATCAAGAATCATTATTGAGTGATATTGCTAATAACATATGATCCAATAGGGTCACACCTTTGTCAAGTTGGTACATTTTGTATATTTACTATTAATACGATTATTAATAAATAATAACAATTCTTGTATTTAATTAGGGAATAATTATTGGTTTTGTGAAAGTAATAATTAAAGTGAGTATAAGTAGTTATTATATCATATTGTATGATTTAATAAGTCATGTATACAGTTTTGTACACTTTGGTTAACCATGATTAAGCTAATTAATTGGTGTTTATGAATAAAGAAACTACGAGATAAATTTAGTCTATTACATCAAGCATCGCCGAATTTTTTAACTAAAGAAGAGAGGTTGCTTGTCAACCTTCTTCGTATGATGCACATGATCCTAAAGGCTATCATTACTTTATCTTATTATAATCCAAATGCACGTCTTGCATGAGAGTATATAAGAAGTGCATGAGACTTGTTTTTTGGCTAGTTTTTTGCTCTTTCTTATGGCCAAAACTACTTCCTACTCCTCACCTCTCTCTCTCTCTCTTGAAGCTAGTTTGGTGATTAAAGCTCCATTAAGTTGTCTCCTTTAGTGCTTAATTGTCTTAAGTTCTTAAAGGCTTAAGACACTCAAGAATACAAGAAAAACCTAGCATTCAATGTATCTTATTCTTGATGGTGGATACTTGTAGAGAAGATTATCTTCTTTGATCTTTCTATCTTCATCAATACCCCAAAACCAAGTGCGTTGAAATGCTCCAAAGGTTGTCATTCTAAAACACTCTATGTTTGTTTTTTTTAATATCATTCTAACCACTATAAATGAATACTAGATGGTTTGGTTTTGTTATAAGCTCGAAAATAATATTGTTATTTTTTAATGATTATGTTGCGGTTTTTATGAATAACACTCTTATATTTTGTATCAAAACTCATCACCATGAAATTGTGTTCAACAGCAACCCATTGAATATAGTCACGAATTGCCTCATTAATCGTTATTATCGATACATTACGCTGATTAATCGATAATACTAACAAAAATTGTGGAATATCAATGTTGAGTACATTCCAATGGATGTTAGGAGAATAGGCTCTAACCCATTTCGCATGACTGATGTTGACAAACACCTTGCATCATGCGTTAGCCGACATAGGTTTTGCTCAAAATAAAAAATAGTATATTATATAGATGTCATCCAGAATAAAGGTTCCAAGGTTCTGTTTCCACCAACTCTTCTGCGCATATAGATGAACACACTTTTACAAGTATACCCATGATAAGAATAAGGGCATACCTGACCTACGCACAAAGTAGATATCGTCCATATTGTTCATGAACTATACTTCCATACCCTCTCAGAAAGGTTCCATCAACCTCATCAGGAACCGAGTACAAGAGTCGACATTATTTGCCACACCCAGACCAAAGGCTGTAGGTATGGTCTGGTTGTGTAGGTAAATAGGCATGTTGATAAAGCTTTTTTCATGCTCACTCTATGAAAGAATCATATTAAAGGAATTATACGAGATAATTACGGATGATCACAAGCGTCTAACTACATTAGGTAACAGTTATATATAAGGGACGGAAATTGATGTTTTATAATCCAGAATAACACCAGGAACATTTGTATGTGACTACATATTGCCACTTCAAAGTACTAACCTGATAATCATATAAATATTCTTGTTTCTGACAGGAGATACTGTGGAATACAAGTCTGGAATGTACGGACTTTCTTGTTTTAGACCTAAGCTTCAAAATGAATACCTTTGCTCCAGAATGTTATATTCCGGAGAAAGTGGTAATTTTACATAAATAAAATTAAGTTGGTTATTTTTATTAAAATACCCGTTTATATGGGTTAGCTTACTCAATTTCCCCTAAAAAACCAGAAATTTATTCCGATAGCCAATCTATTAACACAGTTCTATGAGAGGATACAAAACCCTAGACTAGAAATCATCACTCTGCCGGAAAAAAAGAATGATTCGTCACCCGAAAACATAACCACCGCCGGACTTCCAATTATAAACCTTTAGAGATTTACGAATAATGAACATGAGTTTATATAATTTATAATTTAGTTTATATATGTTGGTGATTATAGGTTTATATATGTTGATGATTTTATATGACAAATGGATGCGTGGTAGTATTTTGGACCTTTAAACGAGAAAACTTGTCAACCGTATTATATCCATATTACTTAAAAAATCGATCCAAATTAATTGTTACCATTTGCATTTTGGGGTGTAGGGCATTTTTTAAGATGTAACCGCTGTGGTCCAGATGAATGTGATGCATTGACCAAAGGCATTAGCACATATATATGTCTTCTGATTGATACCATGAAGAAATTACAATACAGTAATTGAAATGCTAATCATAATCTATGGGGTAAAATAATGTGGAGAGAGATCTGTCTATTACTTGAATCTATTCAATGACAACGCTACATATATATGCCGCTTTATTTATACAAAGAATAGGATGATCAGTTAATAATAACTACCTAATTGTTGTTGTTTCTTTAACATTATTGTGTATTCACTATGCACCACGATGATCAGTGTCTTCAAGTATGCTGTTAGATGAATAAAACCCACTGTTATCACCCTTCCAAGTAGACGAAGATTCATCAGAGGTGATAAATTGGCTGAAAGACATGGGAGGTTTAGGCTCAGAGAGATATTTCCATTCACCTTCAAGCATAGAAACAATTGAGGACATGGTGGGACGATCGTTTGGGTCTTCTTCAATGCATAGTAGAGCAACGCGCAACAATTTGAGAGCCTCGTCGACAGGACAATCATCATTCAGATTTTCATCTATCAGTTGCTCTCCTTTCCCTCCATCCCATAACATCCATGCCTTCAATTGTTAAATATCGTCCATGGTTAGAGTTTTAAATTTGTTGTGCCTCTTTATGTGGTAAGTATATGCTTTCAACTTTGTCCACTTATTGAAAAAGTGAAAGAAAATGTTTATACGGAAAGATAAACCTTATAAAATCTATACCAACATAGATAAATATCAACTAATGAGTGTGTTCTTGAAATGGAAAAATATATTAAATGTAAGAGTGAACATAATTGGCTTACATAGCTTAGAAGGTTTTGATGACGCTCTTCGTGGAACAACCTGCTGTTCCTTTTACCAGAAATTATTTCAAGCAAAAGAACACCAAAACTATACACGTCGGATTTGATTGAGAACATACCCTCCATTGCATACTCTGGTGCCATATATCCACTGTGAAAGTCTCACAAGCAACTTTAGGATACCTGTATAATTTAATACTCCCTTCGTCCCAAAACTATAGTCCATTTTTCTTTTTTGGTTTGTCCCAAAATAATAGTCTCCTTCTAAAAATAAATTACATTATTACCAAAATATCTCTGATTATTACTTAACCAACTAAACATTTAATGGAACATTAAATGCAAAAGTAACTACAAAACTGTCATTTTATTGTTTAAATTTAATGGTAATTAATGCTTCTTTAATCTGTGTGTTTTTTGTCTTCAATAATTTTGGAACGTAGGGAGTATGTGATTTCCTATAAACTTTAAATAAGGCTTACTAGGTTCCAATAACTCTGTCTGTATTTGCTTCCACTTGATTCGATCCAAAAATTCTTGCGGTGCCAAAATCAGATATTTTTGGGTTCATCTCATCATCTAATAGAACATTGCTAGCTTTGAGGTCTCTATGTATGATCTTGAGGCGAGAGTCCTCATGAAGATACCGAAGACCTTTTGCTATTCCACTTACTATATTAACACGCTTAGCCCAGTCCAGTTCCTTTCCTCTTTTAGGATCTTCTATTATAAAATGAAAGTAAATTAATACACGGAATACAAAATCGATGGTGTTTCAACACGTTTGGAAGGTAAATAGAAAGTGAGGGATGGATGAAGAACTAACCAAAAAGGTACTTATCGAGACTACTGTTCGACATGTATTCATAGACAAGGAGCCTTTCCTTCCCTTTCATACAGCAACCCAAAAGCCTCACCAAATTCTTATGCTGCAGTTTTATGATTAGTTTTACTTCTGTTTTGAACTCTTGCATTCCTTGACTTGAGTTTTGGGAAAGTCTTTTCACTGCTATCTTTTTACCATCAGAGAGCTCTCCCTGTGATTAAATTAATCAATCTTTAACTAAAAACGGAAAAGAGACCATCATATATGGATATAGTTCGGGTTATTACCCAATAAACTGGACCAAAACCACCTTCTCCAAGCTTATTTGTAACCGAGAAATTGCTAGTAGCTGCATGCATTGTGTTTAGTCTAAAGTAAATAATTTCCCCTGTGTCATCGTCTGATGCTTCAAACAACTCTTCCTCTTCCCCTGCAACAAGAATATTATTTGACTCCTCGATTGGTCATTGTTGTGATACATAATTCTTCCGTTAAAATCTAATTTACTACATGAATAGGGGAATTATGCAGAAGGAAATATTTTAACATCTCTTTTGTTTACCGTTTTTAGTGCAGATCCTGCAAACCTTTATCAATAGAAAGAAGGTCGAGATGGCCAATGTTACTGCTGCCGCTGATATTGCTGGAACGATGACCTTTGATTTTTCTTTCCCTTCAAAATCTAAATATTAACGGATCAACATTTCGTGCACCACTAAACAAATGTGTAAATGCAAATGAAAAAAATATAAATTTATAACGAAAGTCAAAATGAACCTGGAGGTATTGTTGAACGATTTGTGGGTGGCGATGGGGTTGGAAGATTTGTCGGTGACAATGGGGTTGAAGGATCCCCAAAGTCGACAACAGATATTGTGTATCGTAGTAAACATGAGTATCCGTAGTAAAGTAATCCTTCGGCCTCACCATTATATTTTGTTTCTAGAGAATCAGTAGCAAGAACCAAGCATTCATTACAATTCAGAGATCTATTGGCTTTAATGCATTGACTAGTCGCATCAATATAATTGCCCCTAGAACTAGGTAAAACTGTACTAGTAGAGTAAAATGTTTTATTGTAACCTTCAGACACAGCTTTCCTCCGCAACTGTTTCAACAAGTTCGTCAGTGTCTCAAGCACTGAATTAATATCCCAGTTGGTGACAAAACTTGTTGTCGGAAAGAATAGAATGTCTTTATCTTCACCATTATCGATGTCAAAGCTACTATTAGAGTAGCTGAGAATACAGGTACGGTAATACCAACCTGTCGCTTTCTTCTGTTTAGGACAATCCTCTTTGAGCCGTTGGGTTGCAGACATCAAACATCCAAGACATGATTCATTTAGAAATTCTCCGGGGCATACTCCAAGGGCATAAGCTGTGCTGGTAACATCGTCTGGTGAAGATTTTGAAGATGTGTAAAAGAAACCATCTCCCTTAGATACGTCAGTAAGAGTATATAAGGTATGATTGAGGTTCTTTTCATATGCACTGTTCTGCGTATAGGTTCCTCGGTTTCCGCACTGATGGTCTCCATGGGTAACGGTGAGACCAGAAAGATGTGTAAGAATATAAAACTGAAATAATACCAACACCCAATTTGGTGAACCCATTACAATTTTTTTATTTTTTTTTATTTTTTTTTTTTGTGTTTGTGTGTGTGCAAAGTACACGGTGCAGCCAGCTGTATAAATAGCAACACCCTTGTTTAGAAACTTTGACTTCTGAATCTTTGAAAATTCAAACATGAGTACAAGGTCGCAGAAGTAAATAGGTGCCGTGCCGGGAGACTCCATGCAAATTTGTGACTTCTATGCAATTGTAGAGGATGAAGAAAAGAATGCGCACTAGAATATTTGAAAGCGAGTGGAGTGAAACATTCAAACAACCCATAAAATTCTACAAAGATTTTTCTAATGTGAGTACTAGTCTACGTACGACGGCTAAGGCCATCAACCATTAAGGCTTGAGTTTACGCATAATCACACACCATAATTAATGTTATATCCTCTAATTTATATAAAAACATTAAACTTCACTATACACATAATTAACTTGTTGAATATTAATAAAAAGGATAACGACTTAAAAAGTTTTTGTGGATTATAGGTTTACGGTTACTTCAAACTTCATTTTTTTTTTCAATTTTATCATTTTATGTGTTTCTAGTAGTTCATTAAAACTCTTACATAGAGATGTTCGGTTTTTACCTTTTTTTTCTAGTTCATAAAAAACTTTTGACCACATTTCTACCAAACACCACTATAAAAAGGCACATAAGACCCGTCAAATAGCTAGGACCCGGATCTTGAAATAAACGGGTGATATTATGTAAAAGCCGGGTTTTATAATATGAGTGTTATATGACCGGTCTCAAATAAAAAAAAATCAGACATATGTTATGATTAAATAACCCGGTTTCCATATAAACAACCGGGGCTTTTGGGTATATACTAATATGTTCTATTTTTTATATTACAACTGAGTTCTATGAGCTTGTGACACAAATTATGAAAGGATTATATGACCCGTTGTTCAACAACAAGGTTTTTTGACATGATTTAGAGATACAACATAATTGTTTGTATAAGTGGATAATCATATTAACCCATGCCAAGCTCAAGCTCAAATCCAAATAATAACTACAAGCTTAAACTCCATCTACCTTTTATTTTATAGTTTAAATTAGTTGAAGAAATGATTGGTTTCAGACATGTATCGATTATATATTAATAAAGGCAAAAATACAATCTTTTTACTTTGAAGTAAATTAAGGTTAGTTTTAAAATTTATTTCAATAAAACAATAATTGAAATAGACTTACATTTAAATAGAAACTACAAAAAATATACAATTACATCTTTTTGCACAAATTGGATTGGGGACATTTATGTCACTGATACAAAAAATAGTAAAACGTACAAGCTCTGTTGCAACTTCAAACTTTATATTTATTTGTTTAAAAACTCCAACTAACTCAATGTCTTTTGGTCTTGTCTGTTTATGTAGCTGTGAGCAAAAAAAAAATACAAATTAAGTATTTTTAATCATAAATAATCTATAATATATAAACAAACAAGCTCTAGATGAATAGATGGACATTTTGACAATACATTGTGCATCATATTACTATTAAATAAAGAAAATTAATGATGTTAAATCCAAAAGATAGCAACCTACTTTTATATATTTGTTTATTATATAGTATCATAGTTTTATTTGGTCATAGTATAACATTGTGCATTGAAACATCTTCCTAATTATACTAATGTCATAAGTATACAAAGACATCTTACTTATAAATAGTTAAAAGGAAAAGAAAAGTAATTAACTCTTTCACACACAAAAACGTTATATCAAAACAATAAGATATGTTATTTATAAGGAACATTGGTAAACCATAGACATCATGTAACATCAAGATAGATTAGACTGGAAGTGAACAGATACACCGGTAAACGACCTCAAGCAAAGGAAGAGCAAACAACATGAGCAGGGGCACCGTGAGATCTATGGGTAGAGGCCTACTAATAAGGCATGGAAATGGAGAAGCTTTTGATCTTAACCTTGTTAATTTGCCTCAATTGCATAACAAAAAAAAGAAACCCACATGACCATATTCTCGTCAGACTTATCGACTTGATTATTTACTTTTCATAATTATCAATTTAAAAAAAGAAACAAATAGATTAGCAATGACAACTTTTCAGCAATATTTTTACTAAAACACTCCTTAATGGCTTATTAGGATTCTTATTTCAGTATCGATTTCGGTTCACATTCTCATCAGCATCCATTCTGTAACGACGTGAATTTTCAAAACAAATTTTTCATTTTTAATCATATAATCTTCATTGCACATTTCATAAAACATCATTTATTTAGTTTACAAAACATAACTCCGTGTTTAATCAATTAATACTCCAGGATCCTCCGAAACATGATTCTTTCTCTGGTGTGTACAATCAAGTCGGTGCCTTCCCGCGATCCTAAGAACAACCTGAAACACATAACACGTAACACGGTAAACACGAAGCTTAGTGAGTTCCCCAAAATACCACATACAACACATAAGCCACTCGAGGCTATAACTCGGTAAGACCCTCCGGTCAATGTGTCTCAGCGGGACCCTCCAGTCCCGTAGCTCGTTGGACCCTCCTGTCCGGTCTAGCTCGTTGGACCCTCCGGTCCGGTCTGGTTGAGGACCCTCCCGCCTCGTAAGTCGTTGGACCCTCCGGTCCAGTCTAATATCACATAGCATCCATACATCACAACACATAATCTCAAGTAAGCACATGACATATAAGACCCTCCGATCTGCACATAGATACCTGTCACACCCCAAAACCGGAACGACGAAAATGTTCGGGGGTGGAGGACGTCATGTATAGTATCACAACAATGCATAGTAGTAAACAAGCAACAACATCATCTATTGCATTAATAATATAATTTAATACAAGTGTGTTCTGTGAAGTTTAATAGACACCAAAAATATGAAACAAAATAAAAGATGAGTCTTGAACGAGCTCCGTCTTCTCAAAACCTGGCACCGGTACCTGTCTATTGGTGACCTGAGAATACAAGTTATTTTGAAAGAGTTTATTAGCTTTAAAGTTGGTGAGATCATAAGTATTTTAGTGTCATTGTTTGTATGAAAGTGTTTGTAAGTACTTGAATGTATAGGTTTGTAAATGTTTGTAAATGTTTGTATCTCCTAGAAAATCCTATATTTTCTACTAAACGTAGCCTTCTACCAAGGCATCAAATGAAATGTATGCTAGTTTCTTGTAAAAGTGTGTATTTTCCCAAATATGACTATTATTAACCAAAAATATAGTTTTTTTCATTACCGTTCATTGTGTGAAGATCACAAAGTGAATGCAATGGGGAAATAAAATAGTACTGTAGTGTTGTATTAGGTAACTACTGCTGTACTAACTACCTTAATCCAATTGTTAATTAAAGTAACATGTGATATGCATGTACCATACTACCGACTAAAAACACGACGATGAAAGACGTCGGAAGAAATGACATTTGGCACCCGTAGACTTGCAAGTCCCACTGTAGCGAGCAGCAAGGTGTAGGATAGTCAATCCAGTATAGATCTATACACAAACTCAACGCTCTCCACTTAAGGAGATTCTGGATACAAAACGAGCCATGACAGGTGATGTCATGCCCCGTTATGTGGCTCACATAACTGTTGTAATGTACTTGTATATGTATTGTGTGTACTAGCTGTATTGTATGTTCTCTCTCTGTCTAGTATGTATGTATGTTCTCTCTGTTTCTCATAATAGTATGTTCTCTTGTATAATGTATAGTATGTACTAGCTGCATTGTATGTTCTCTCTCTGTCTAGTATGTATGTATGTTCTCTCTGTATGTTATCGTTTGTTTCTCGTTATAGTATTCTCTATCTGTTTCTCGTAATAGTATGTTTTGACTCATGTATGAACTGACTCATTGTATGTTTCATTGTTCTAGTAATAGTATTAGTAACTTCCTAAACTATACCTATTATAGTTTACTAGTAATGTTGTTTGTATAAATGAACATGTTTGTATACCTTTGCTACCCAAAGGTATTGTACTGAATGAAGGAACCTTTATATCTATACACATATACATAATATATAACTAAGATTCAAACGACGTTCGGACAAATAACCGTTACCCTAAGTCCACAACCAAACAAGGAACAGGAAGCAAGGTGAGCTATCAGTCCTAAGTCCTTTCAATCCTACTTATATAACTATATCTATATAGATACACATTTGACAAAGTATAAGTTTAAAAGAGTTTAGTGAAAGTATTTAACATGTAAAAGAATTTGTAAAACAGTTTTGAAGTAGTTTGATTGATAACATAGTTTGAAAAGTAAGACAATCCATATGTTTGATAGTCATTAATCACATGTGATTGATATAATAACTATAATGTATCTACTTGTATTCCCCCCCCCCCATAAAAGCATTTAAAATCATTTAAAAGGTTGATTAAGGGGTATGAACTCACCTATAGTGAGTGGTTTGGAAGAACGGATGGTATAGGATGCTAAGTGTCAAGTGAAGACTTGAGCACACACACAGATCCTATTTAACATATAATGACACATATATGTATCCAATTAGTCATTTAACAACTAATTAACCAAGTTAAGACACCCTAGGACATGGAAAACACTTTGATTCAAGTGCTAGAAGTACCAAGGGTTGCATCTAAGGGTTGTATAGCCACTTAAAGGAGTTTTCGGTCCAAGGAGGTTTTCGGCCCAAATGGTTTTCGGTCCAAATGGTTTTCGGTCCATATGGTTTTCGGTCCAAATGGTTTTGATCGAAAACCCATGGTCTTTGATGCATAAGGTGATTTTTAAGGGCTTTCCACAATCAATGAAGTGTTCTAAACTCAATACGAAGTATTAGGAAAGGCTTAAAGTCATTTTGCATCCTTCATAAGGGTTTTCGGTCTAAGGAGATGCACTAGACCGAAAACACCTTTTGTTCTTGGATAAATGATGATTTGAAGGCCCTAAATCAAGAGTTTCAACTAGATAACAAGTATAGGGAAGCAATACTTACGATTTATAGGCTAGTAGAGTTGATTTT